TGATGTTGGAATAGAGAAAGTAGCAGTGAATGCAGTACATGGTGGAGGAGATGGATCATGTGGATGTGAGTTCTCATAAATTTGGTCAAATAGATGATCAAGATCCATAGTGTTGGAGTCAGGTGAGGGAGATGATGTGAGGGAGTTGTGCTAGAATACCAGTGATATCGGGTTCTGAACTGATATGTCAGAAGCATGTTATTCCTTTTTGTCAAAGGTCACATTGACGCTTTCAACGAACTTGCTTCTGTCTCTGATGTAAACTCTGTAAGCTTTAGAAGAAGATGAGTAGCCAATAAACACGGCTTCAAATGTTTTCGGGTCAAGCTTACTTCGATCATTCCTACTATTAACAACGAAGCACTTGCATCCAAAAACTATTGGAAAAGAAATCTTGGGAGTACGGCGGTTGATCAACTCATATGGTGTCTTTCCAAACCTTTTATGAATTGAAGTCCTTTCTGAGTGAAGTATGCAGTGTTGATAGCTTCAGCCCAGAGAAAATGTGGAAGTTTGGAGTGGATAAGCATGGTTCTAGTAGCTTCAACAAGAGTTCTGTTCTTTCTTTCAACTACCCCGTTCCGCTCTGGGGTCTTTGATGCAGAGAATTGATGTATGATTCCATGTAGCTCGTAGAGCGCATTGAGTTTTTGATTCTTGAACTCTTTGCCATTATCTGAATGAATGAATAGAATGTGATGGGTCCCAAGTGAGGTAAAAGTCTAGAGGGGGCGGGGGGGGGGGGGGGGGAATAGACTTTTAAAATATTTTCAATTTCAACCCTTTTTCCTCTAACAGAATGAGTTCCAATATCTTTTGGGAGATATTGAAACCTACAACGAGGAAGTCTTGAACTCAAGAGCGTGACACTTTACAGTAACAAATGTTATGACCCTCTTAGTTGTATGACGGATGGGATAAACAAGATGCAAATGTGTTTGTTAGAGTCAGCTAGCTCAAGGAGCAGGCTGCTGAATCCTTAAGGGTCAGACTGCGAGGTTACTGGGAGCTGGCTGCTGAACCCCTCAGGAGCAGGCTAATAATTTTGCTGCTTTATCAATGTTTAAGGCACATGGAGAATCTATGACCTTGGACATTGTTTGTCTTTTGTGAATAGACCAAACACATAGGCATGAAGGATTTAGACCTATTAAAATAGATCACTTCAATGAATAGAAACAAAGAGTTTGATTCGCAAAAAACTTGGACAGTTTTCTGGACTGAAAATGAGCAAGGTAAGCAAGCTGTTTTTCTAGGAATTCGTGAAGGTGAGTGAGAACTGAAATGTGTGTTGGGTGCTGAATATAATAGGTGACACAAGATAAATTCTGGTTCAGAGGTGGTGTAATCCTCATACGTCCAGTCCCAACCTATTTCAGATGGTTTTCCACTAAATGAATATCCCATTACACTTAATGCCCAATCTACCCTTGGCCCAGGCGTAGATTGTGAGGTTTTTCACGAGGAATTTGAACACCATTCCAAGCTACTCAGTCCTCCAAGGTTTTTCACTAATGGCATTGACTTGCCAAGAGCTACTCATGCCCTTGCCCTTCTCACCTTCTGGATTTGAACACAAAGCCCTCCAGAATGTCTAACACTAGCCTAGTTTACATGGGTGAAAACTAAACTACCAACTAATCTAAGCTCTATAGATGTGTATGCAATATGAGATGTTCTAAGAGCTGTAGATGAGTGGGGTGGTAACCGAAGTGGTGAAGGCGAATTAACTTGCTGGATGTGTTCGTGTGAATCTTGATTCCCTTCTATTCCACCTGGCTCCTCACACTCTGTCTTCCCACACTCCTTATGTATTTATACACTTATTGTTGAATCTCATCCGTTGGCTGATGAGTTCAATCTTGACCGTTGCTTGATCTACTTGCTTTGTTCCATTTGACTGTAGGCATCATGGTTTGTTCTTTGTCTTCATGTGTCACAGACCAAAACTTACTCAACCTGCATTCCTCTTCTCAATGAACAGGATAAAAGACGTAATATCTTTTTATTCTTATATTCAAAGATTTGAGTATATAAGTTGGGTATTGTTCAATGCTTCCTTACGATAAAAAAGTCACGTGTTTTTAGTAAAATAATTTTACAAGAAACAATGTGATAAGTATTTCCTATTAAATTACTTTCTATTTTTTTGTCATTTTGACTGCAAGTTGGTCTTTTGATTAATTGTTTTTGTGCTTTAGAGAAGATAGTAGATTTCGGTTGAGCTAACTGGAAAACCAATATTTTCAGCCGGCTGAAGAATGCTTTTAGGAGGCTGCTGATTTTTTGTTTTTCAGATGGCTGCCGAATTTACAAAGGGTTTCAGTTGACTCGTTTCGTACCTTTTCTTTTTCTATTCTTTTCTTTCTGTTTTTGGTACGTTTCTTCTCTTTTCAGTACTCTTTGTTTTTCTTGAGTACTTTATCACTAATATAGGAGCACATTACAAATAAACAAAGTAGAACAAGTACAAGAGAATCTAGTCTAATATAGGGATACTACAAAAAGGGATGGCATCATTAAAACTACATATTAATCATCAAAATCTAGGGGACCTAACAATTTCCCCCCTTTTGATTATGCAAAAAACTAGAATCAAAACAACCTATAAAAGAGCAAAAACATCGTTTAAAGTACAAAGTTGTTTGATTTTAATTCCCCCTCTTTTGGCAACAACAAACACCTTCTCAGAGTGCATGTCCGCCAGATGACTCTCTAGGGAGAAAGTTTTTAGCTGCCTTCCTTTTTCTTCTTCTTTCATCTGCATGTTTGAGATATTCAACATTTGCATTATAGACTCTGTTGATTATCTCTTTGGAGAGTGAGATTTCAACAACTTTTGTCCTCAGCCAGCTGAGTGCAAAGCTTTCTTCTTCTTTAACAATTTGGGAAGCGAAGAGAAGAAGATTGAGTGGTGCTAGTCTCCAAGCTCTCCAGGCTAGAACTCTTTTTAGCTCTTTATCTAGAGCTTCTTTTTCTGCTCGAAAAAGCATCCATGACTGAAGATCAATCATGAAATCTTCTCTTGCTCGAGTCAGGGATGATCTTTTCTTATTTGACGTTTGTGAAGGAGCTAATGAGAGATCTAGAGAAATGTTTTGGAATGAGGAGTTCTCCATTTTGAAGAAGGTGAAAATTCTTGAAGAAGTTTTTGTGGAAGAGGATGATAAAGTGATGAGATGTGAGAGAAATTGGATAGGCAAGAGGGATATTTATATACTGAAATGCAATTGTTCGTATTTCAATTATTTGCAATAACTTAATGCATAAAGAGACACCGACACTTTTTATATGACCATGATATTCCTAACAATATTCATGCTTATAGAAGTGTAGAAATAGATATAGAGATATATAACTGAGTAACACCATTCGATCAACATCGATAACTGAATGGAGAAATTCAGATTAATCCGAATTTGATTAATACGGAGCCCTATAGATTAATCAAATCAAAAGAATTTGCTTTCAATTTTAAAAGGGTTATGCATAAATCTTCCCGGGATAATAGATTCATTCATCTCCTCCCTTCTTTGAGGGTTTGAAGACGATTGGAGTACCCAACATAAAGTGGCTCCAGTCCGATGTATCTCTTTGATTCGCCTATGTCAGTCCTCTAGCCGTTGCAATCGATAGATGCTCTGTTTTTTTGCAAGGCGCAACTCTTGTTAGCGATGCTGTTTTGAAATCCGCACGACGTGCGCACGTGGCCGATCCCATTGTATAATTTGTGCTTATGAGGGAGGAGACCGATTAATCATATGCTCAAATTATTTGTCAACCAAATTTGAGGATAAAAGGTGAGATTGGGGAGGAAGAATTCAAATATATACCATCCCCGTTCCGTTTTAATCGCAACATGTTGAAGTTTACACTATTCACATGCTCTACTTTGACTACATTTTACGCTATTATTTTATGATTTTTTTTTTAAAATATTGTTCAATTCATGTCATTACAAATTTTCAAAATCTGATTTTTAATATTTTTTTACTAATAAAATTAAGATATAATTATAATCAAAGACGTGTGTTGGCAAATGTGAAATGTTGACGGTTGAAACTAGAAGTGGGCATGGTTGGTTAACCGTATTTCGGTTAACCAATTTATGGTTAACCGAAATATCGGTTAATATTTTTATGATATCAGTAACCGTACCATAATGACGGTTAACCGGGTAACAATTAACCATCTCATAGGTTAACCGTTAATCGGTTAACCAAAAAACCGTATATACAAAGTATATGAATAAACTACTAACTAGGTTCGTTTTAATATTGCCATATGAATAACGCCCTATACTAAATTACGTTACAGACGTAGTAAATTACGTATATGCAGTATTGTGGTTTTCAGAAAACTTTTTTACCAACGGGAAGTTTACTACAATATACGGAGTATAATACTACATACGGAGTACGTATTACGAAGAATTTATACGGAGTACGTATTATGCTTCAACTGTGATTCAATATGTACTCGTACTGTCTCGTAGTGTATAACTAAAAAAGTTAGATTTGAAATATACGTTTCAGAAAGTTGAGAAAATTTCTTGTAAGATGCAATACCATATTCTTTGAATCTAAAATGAAATTTTAAATATAAAATCCGAAAATAAAATTAAGTATTAAATCTAAGATGCAATACCATATATATACTCCGTAAATTTGTAAATAAATATGGACAAGGAGTTAATATTGAATATAATACAGGGAGTTTTATGAACTCACATTGGATAAATAAGCAAAATGTATGTATGAATTTGGGAGCAATATATTAACTTTGGATTAGCGGTTAACCGAAGGTATTTAATTTCAAAACCGTAACCGTATAGTAAAACGTTTTTTCTACCGGTTGGTTAACCGTTGGGTTATTTACCGTGCCTAATCGGTTACGGTTTTTTTCGCTCACCCACCGTTGAAACTGAAAAAAGAAGGAGAGAGTATAATGGGTAAGTGACCGGTAACTACAGTCACGAAGTACTTCTATAGAATAAACATTTCTTTTCTCCCGCCAAGCATTTGAACACCTAATCTTTTCCCCACCATCGGACGCACAGGATGAACTTGACTAGTTCTCATCACCATTGTGATTCGCAGCCAGGGCTGCCACCACTAACATGCTCTCAGGGCCACCGCACAACTCTGATCCTCCCTACGGAGGAAGGCGGATCCATCTGTCTACTGTGCTTCTCGAACCTTGTATCCAATCCGAGATCGCCAACTGTCCATGTGTCTTACGCACTCTCCCAGCTCTCTATCGCCATCACCCAGCCACAATTCCGCCAGACCTTCTTCAATTTCCACTCTCATTTCCTCATCTCGCCTCTCGTCGGTGTCCTCTCCTCTTTCGAAGACGATCCTATCGCTCAGCAGACGGTGGATTTGATTGTGCAGATTTGTGTTGCGGCCAACTTCGAGGTCTTTCAGGAGTTCGTGGCTCGGGTCTCTGACAGGCTATCGAGTGGATCTCTTGCGTGGAGTCGGCGCCAGCGCTACACTGTAAGTATACTCTTTTGATGATTAATTTGTGGATCGCGTCGGTTTTGTTTACTTGAGGAATTGAGAGGTAAAGCTACATCACATCGGTTTTGTTTTCTTGTCCTCCTGTTGATTGTACCTATTCAGTTTGCCTGGGAATGTCGATTCAATGTTTGTACTCGTAATGTCATTCGATTGAGATACACACAGACTTGGCCTGGACGTTACCTTTCAATTGGCAAGACGTGAATAACCGAGCAATTGAATTCACAATTTAAATTTAAATTTTGAATTAGTGAATGCAAATTTGAGTTCTAGACTGGCTCTTTGATAAGTTAGATTTTGATATTGTATCAATGTGCGGATGAACCTCTTGTGAGTCTTTGAACTGATTAATTATGCGTTTTGTCTGTACTCACTCCAAATCCCGACAACTTTAAATATTAATTCCAGCTGGGTGAGATACTTGACATCCACCGCATGTAGAGATACTTATGCTTTCATCTTGAGACATTAATTGCTGTTTCTCTCCACCGCATGTAGAGAGAAGTCTTGAGCACACTTTCGTTGAATAAGTGGGCATGCCACTTCATAAATTTTGTTTTGTGCCTTTGCAGCTTCACTGTTTAGGTGTGCTTTTGAACTATCAGAAAACTGAAACTTGTGCTTCCATTAAAGATGCGGATTCCCTCATTTTCAACCTTGTCAATGGTCTTCAATTATCTAGGTTTTGATTCACAGCTAGAGCTGGCTTTGCTATTAGTCTTAAGTTTATAACCTGAACAGTGAAGATTGCTTCCTTATGTCAATGCAGTGAGGAGGTTCAAGCAGAGATCCTATTTGTCCTGTACAAAATATTTCTTCTCCTGCAATCTCATATAGACAATAACTTTACCGACAGTGTATTCCTTCACTGTCCCAAGCTAGTCCAATTATCCCTGGAGGTTCTCCTGAAAGCAGAAAATGATGATCTACGTTTGAACTGTGTAGGCAAGCACCTCTCTTTCGTTTTTCCAACCTCCAGTTTAATTACCTTATGTATTCACCTTTCATTATTCTTACTGCACCAGTGGTAGGTACTTGATCTGTAATTATTTCAACAAATGAAGTAATGCTTCAGAGGATATCTCATTTTAAGCTATTACGTAGTATTACTTTTCTGCTTTTAAGGAAAATTTGTAAGTGATCAGTATCCTGATGTATGAGCAAGCTATAGTGGATTATTTCAGGAAAGTATGGTTTTTGCTATGATGCCAAATTGCCAACTTTGAGATAGTAATGTCAGTAGGAAAACTGATTTGTTGACAGTTACCTGCAATTAATCAAAATATCAGTGATATTTGTAGACGAGTGCTCAGGTGTTAACCCATTATCAATATCGTTCTTGACCCCTACATTGCCTATGATTTATAATGCAATAAGGAAATTACCACCCTGCAATGTCTTCTGTGCACTCCTTTTATGTTGGAATGCAAAATCATCATCATGCTGATCCATGCTACAGTATAATATTATGGAAAGATAAAAAGAGCAATCAAGTAGAATAATGAGGAGTGATGGCTGATTGGTTTTCTTGATTAATTTTATTTATTTATTATGATTTCATTTTAATACCTTCATTGATTTTCTTGTTTTCTGCATTCATATGCATGCAATTCCTCTTATAAATGGAAGCTTTGCTAGGCTAATAAATATCAAAGAGAAATTAAAAAGAAATCATGGAGAAGGAAAACCCCCAAAATTTCCACATCCTCTGTCCATTTATCATTTATATTTTATCCTCGTGACACAAAGAATCCCGACACATAACATTTTGGTTACATTGCCAGCGTCATGGGAAATTACACACTTTCAGCTTATCAATATACACTCCTCTCAAAGGTACATGCATACAGAAAATGAGCTATACAAACTGGAAAGCGAAGGGCATCTTGACAAGCTGCAAAATGCAGTGCAAAAGGTGCAGCAAGAACTGCAGCCATTCCAGGAGTGTGTTCAGGAATGTTCTAGCCAGATTGCCAACCTTTCCTAATCAGTGGTCTCCTTGGTAGGTGATGAAGCACCCCATCAGTAAACACTTCATCTACAGAAGTATTTCCTCAACTACCGTTGCTTCCACCACAACACCTTCTAGAACCAATGCTGTCCGTAACCCTGATAATGCAGACTGCCCTGCCCGATAAACTTCCCAAAACAAACTTCTTGCACTTTTGGGATCCATTTTGGTCCACTAAGACTGTCCCAGTTTACCATTGTGTTCAAACGAAATTATTAATGGATGATGATCATCTATACCATAGTCCACCTCTAAGAGCGACTTTCGATCTTCTTCAAGAATACAAGGATCACTGACACATTTTAGTGGTGCAGTCATTCAACATTAGTTTCAACTTTCAAGTTTTCAAGCTTGACGGCAGACTTGATTTTACAGGAGGGTTGTCATAGATTTTAGAATAGGAATAGATTGAGACTGAAAAGCTTGATTCATTCCAGAATATGATATCCTATTTATACAACCTTTTTGAGACTAATAAGGTAGGCTACTAATAATAATATTAAATACAAAGATATGTAACTAATTTATAATATTAAAGACAAATATTGTGTAACTTATGTAACGATTCTCTGGAGCTGTCTAGACTCTTCTATATGCCCCCGCAAGCCAGGTATTCTATCAGTGCTGAGATACCTGAGCTTGTCACGTAGAAAAACAAACCGTTGCCGTGAAAGGGGTTTGGTGAGAATGTCAGCTAGTTGATCATGTGAGGGGATATGAAGGACTCAAAGAAGACCACGTTGCACATGTTGACAGACAAAATGGAAATCAATGGCAACATGCTTCATGCGGGAATGAAATACAGGATTGGCGGAAGAAGTGGCAACGCCTTTATTATCACACAGAAGAACCGGAGGGGAAGTAGGTGAATGTCGGAGCTCATGAAGAAGTGACTCAATCCAGAGTGTTTCAGATGCAGCAGTGGAAAGAGCCCGATACTCTGCTTCGGTAGAGGTTTTGGAAATTGTTCGTTGCTTGGATGATTTCCAGGAAATAATTGACTCTCCGAGAAAAATAGCATAGGCACTGGTAGAGGAGCGGTCATCAGGATTGCCTGCCCAATCAGCATAAGCACATAAGGAGAGGGAAGAACTCCGTCGAAAATATAAACCATGAGAGGCAGTTCCTTGAAGATAACGCAAGAGGCGTTTCATGAGTTGCCAATGATTCACCGTGGGTTTGTGCATAAACTGAGCTAGCTTGTTGATGGCAAAGGCAGTGTCAGGTTTGGTGAGATTTAAATACTGAAGGGAGCCAATGACCTGCTGATAGAGAGTTGCATCACAAGAACCCGAACTATCAAACAGAGTCAAGGAAGTTGAAGATGCTAGAGGTGTGGATACTGGATTCACCTCATGCATATTCACCATCTGCAATAAATCTGTAATATACTTATGTTGATCCAGAAAAAGACCATCTTGTGTAGGAGTGACCTGGATGCCCAAGAAATAATGTAAGGATCCTAAATCCTTAATGGAGAATTTCTGTGCAAATAAGTCAATAGTCCGATGAATTAAAGCTGGTGTAGAGCCAATGACAATAATATCATCCACATATACTAACACATAGATATAAGAGGGATAAGAAGAAAATATGAAGAGACTTGCATCAGAAACGGATTGATGAAAACCAAGGGATAAAAGAAATCCACTGAGAGTCTGGTACCACACTCGAGGAGCTTGTTTAAGCCCGTAGATGGATTTCTTAAGGTGACATACTCTCCCAGAGCCATCATTGAAACCAGGAGGTTGTTTCATGTAAACTTCCTCTTGGAGAGCTCCATGTAGAAATGCATTATTGACATCGAGCTGATTGACCTGCAAGCCATGAGAGAGAGCAATGGTTAAAACAACCCGAATAGTAACTGGTTTGATAACTGGGCTAAAGGTCTCAGAGTAATCAATCCCTGGGCGTTGGTGAAAGCCCTTAGCCACCAGTCGAGCTTTGAAACGGTCCAAGGATCCATCGGGCTTATATTTCACAGTATAGACCCATTTGCAACCAACGATGTTTTGATCAGGATGAACAGGTACAAGCTCCCAAGTTCCTTGTTGAACCAAGACATCAAATTCCACAGACATAGCCTCTCTCCATTCAGGTACCTGTAAAGCTTGAGAAACACAAGTAGGAATAATATGATGAGGTAATGATGAGTGGGTAACAACATTAGCTTGCTTACGGGGACGAAAGGTCATTGGGTGGATATGTTTGGGAGGGGAGGGGTGTGGATCATGACGGTGATCCAAGGTCGATACGGAACTATTGGGAGTGGGAATAACTGTTGAGGTGGTGGTGTTGGGTGTAATTGGCAAGGATGGAGTAGTTGGTTTTTGTTTGGGCCGACGTTGGTAAGTGACAAGAACCGGTGGGTGAGAGGCGGGTGGATTGGTAGGAGGTGAAAACGAGGTGGAGTTAGACATATTAGGGGAGTCTTGTTGTGCCGAGGTATGAGTAACAGGAGACGCCATTGCTAGTGATGTACCTGAAATAGGGAGATATGAAATAGGTGGCTGAAGCCAATTATCAATATCAGAGGACAAATTTGCAGCAGTTGTTGGACCGTTAGAAAAAGGAAAGACAGACTCATTGAACACCACATGCTGACTAATAAAGATCTTATTAGAAGTAGGATCAAGGCAGCGATAAGCACTTTGCTGGTCACAATCATTTTCATTTTCATTTACCCCAGTGCCGCAAAGGCTCCCACCTACGGTGGGGTAAGGGGGGGTCGGATGTACGCAGTCTTACCCCTATACTAAAGCACAAAGAGACTGTTTCTGGATGACCCATAGTGAAAATCCCGTCCAAAATTGCATGGACTGACTGCTACTTCATAACAAAGAAGCGCAGACAGTTTAATGAGCCATTTTGCTTTATTCCATCATAATCTCAAGCCACTTTGCTGGTCACAATAGCCAAGGAAAATACAAGGTCGGGAACGGGGTTCTAACTTATGGGCCATGTAAGGACGAAGCCATGGAAAACATTGACACCCAAAAATAGCAAGTTTTGTGTAGTTCGGAGGTTTTTGAAAAAGTTTTTCATAGGGAGTACACAAACCTAGAGAAGCTGCCGGTTGTCTATTAATTAAATAAACAGCAGTCAAAAAGGCATATCACCAATATTTAAGTGGCATAGAAGCATGGTGAAGTAAAGTAATGCCTGTTTCTACAATATGCCTATGTCGGCGTTCAACAAAGCCGTTATGTTCAGGGGTATATGGAGGGGTAAGTAAGTGAGAAATGCCACAGGAGGCCAGGAATTTCCCTAGAGAAATATATTCACCTCCTCCATCGGAGTAAATCATTTTAATGGATTTTTGAAAAAAGTTTTCTACAATTTTTTAAATTGTTGAAAAATTGAGGTTACCTCCGATTTGTGGGTGAGAGTGTAAAACCAAATGTATTTTGTGTAATGATCAACAAAAATAACATAGTAACGGAAACCATCTACAGAACTAATACGAAAAGGACCCCAAACATCTGTATAAATTAAGTCAAGAGGAGCAGAACTAGAAAGAGAAGATTTAGCAAAAGGTAACCGGTGATTTTTATCACTCGCACACGAAGTGCAAAGAGATAGATCCTGATGGAGTATATGGGTTTAGGCCCCAGGACCCACATACTCAGAAGAACAGAAAGTACAAGCCACTGCGCAGTGCCCTCGTCGGCCAAAGGACCCTCGTCGGCCGAAGAGGGACCGACTCAGAATATGATCCTGAAGCCAGGGAACCAGGGTGTCCTCATCGGCCGTGCCCTCATCGGCCGTGCCCTCGTCGGCCAGACCCTCGTCGGCCACGGAAGTCTCACAGAACTAGATTTTACACTTATTCATTTATATATCCCATCATTTACTTTGTATTTGGCCCAATAGCGGTCCAGTTGTAAATGGGCCTCCCAAGCCCAAGGCTCGGGAGCCCAAGCCGTATTTTTCC